AATTTGAAATAAAATGTAAAAACCAATATAAAAACAAAAAATCGTATTCATAAAATATATATGTCCTTAAAAATGAAGTCCTTAAAATAGTACGTCCTTATAGTTTTTATTCTGAAATTTCAGAATAAATTTTCAGTATAACTTATCTTATATTACAAAATGTGAATAACTTATTAATATAAATACATATAATTCTTTATATTAAAAATTATTTATCTCTAGAAATATTGGCAATTTATATTAATTATATATTCGTATCGTACATTTAATATACCATATTAATTATATATTCGTATCGTACATTTAATATCGTACATTTAATACAACAAACAGTTTTATATATTAAGTATCCATTGCAAACAAGAAGTGCGAAAGTATAATTAAAATGTTCGGGGTTTCCTAAAAGAGAATTTAAAAGAAGTGTTCAATAAGTGTTCAATAAGTTCAATTAAATATTTTAATATTGTAAAAACTTTTGTATATACTTCTTAAATTTTAATAAGTATCAAGCTAAATTATCAACATCATAATTTCTTTTATATGGTGTCCTTTAAGTATTGCCATATTTCAAAACTTCACGATTTAGAAGATATTTTAATATCGAATACGTCTGTGCAACAAATATTTTATTTTAAATTTTAATTTATCTGTTTATCTTTGCGAGTGATATTATAACAATGTAATGGCATTTTCTGTTTTTTGTACTTAAGCAATATTATTGTAACTTGAATTTTTGTGAATTACATTTACAGTTACATAATTTTAAGGCAAGAGTATTTCAAAGAAATATTTAAAAGAAATATTTAAAGAAATATTTTTTGTTGTTTGTGCCTTCTAATACTTCTAAGCGATTGTGCGTGATTGTGGTTTTCTGAATGTAATATTTTACAAAAAAATGTTTAATTTCTATAATATTTATGCATTAGAGCAAATTAATAATAAACATATTGCTATAATCGACTTGCCAACATCGAAATCAGAAGACATTGAAGATTTGCAGAAGACGTTCAAGGAAGTCGTCGATACATTCGAGGGACTTGATATTCTTATCAATAATGCTAATGGAAAAATGTTTATTTATTAGTTGTATCTTGTTACATTTGCAGGCATGACTGTGCTGCACTTTACGTGATATTTTATAAAATATATTTACTTTCTAAAATGTTTATACATTAAAGTTATAGAGTAGCATTAAATTTTAATTGTTTTTTTTTATACGATATACCCATATATTTTTTTATATAATAAATAAGCTGCTCCCTTCTAAGCTTAAATACAATTTCTTAAATAATTTGAAAAACAAAATTCGGGCTGGAATAATAAATTTACATGTTAGATATTAGGAAGTAAATTTTTTAGATGCAAACTTGCTTCGTGTTTCTAGCATAATATATTCTAGTTTAAACTTTTAGTAATTTTTATCAGTGATGAGATAAGATAAAATTATATTAAACAAAACATATTTTGCGTTAGCTACGTTTTCTTTATGTTTAATCTAATCCGTAGCATTGAAGAGTTCAGTTCGTTTGAAGATCTTTCGTTTGAAGATCACATATCGTTGAAGCTTCAGTAGATCACCAAAATGTATAATATACATAATAAAACTGCAATGATTACTGGAGCAGCTCGCGGAATGGGCTACAAATATGCCGAAACACTACTTCGTAATGGTGCAAAACGTATCGCTATCATCGACTTACCAACATCGAATGGTCAAAATGCAGCAGCTACTTTGGAGAAAGAATTTGGAAAGGATCGTGCCATCTTCATCGCTTGCGATATAACGAAATCAGAAGATTTGCAGAAGACGTTCAAGGAAGTCGTCGATACCTTCGAAAAACTTGATATTCTTATCAACAACGCTGGTGTAATAGGCAATAATTGGGAACGAACGATTGATGTCAATATGAAGGCACTGATAGATAGTTCTTTTTTGGCGATGGATTACATGGGGAAGCATAAAGGCGGCAAAGGCGGTGTAATCGTGAATGTTGCATCTGTAGCCGCATTGCATCCACTTTCTGTTCTACCAGTATACACGGCTACGAAACATGGAGTCCTCGGATTTAGTCAGGCTTTAGCAGATTTGTACGATAAGACTGGAGTACGAGTTTTAATTATGTGTCCAGGTTATACAGAGACTGAACTGGGTAAAAATGACAGAAGCTGTGATTTTATTCTCAATGTATTAGGTAACGTTGACGACGAATTCAAGAATTATCCAAAACAATCCATTGAGCCTGTTGCACTTGCAATGTTAGAACTTATTCAAAAAGGTAAAAATGGAGCTGCTTGGGTCAGCCAAGGTGGACAACCACCTTACGCCGTAGATTTTGTCCATTATTCTAAGCGAGCTGTGCCTGTATAAAAATTATATTGATAATTCTTCTTGGGAGTTAAAATAAAATAACGTAAATAACGTAATATTATAAAGCTTACAAGATGTTGTATCAATTGTATAAATTGAAATTATTTGAAATAAATGGTTTAAAAACTGTATTAATAATACACATAAAATATAAATTCCCTTACAAATGAAGTTCTTAAAGTACGTTATAATTTTTATTATAGTTTTTATTTTGAAATTTCATATATAGCTTATCTTA